CACACACACACACACACACACACACACACACACACACACACACACACACACACACCCTGAGTTTGATCTCATGGTTATAATGTCAGCATGTATCTATTCACAGCATTAAATGGAGGGAGGTGATGCAGCCATCCACACGTGAAATCTACGAATTAGCTGTGAAATTGCTGTTATTTGCCACTGATTGTTTATGACTCGGTACACAGGGTTTTTTCTTTTCTTTTCTGGCCTTCTCTTTTATCCGCACAAAGGGTTTTCTTATCATTATTATGGTTTTCAAAAGGAGATGTTTTCAGGATGGATGCACACACTCAAATGGGAGGAACACCAAGGAAGGTTTTAACATTTTACCTATATGTTGTGCTTCAGATTTAGCTCATTCTTTCTCCATCTTATCGCCATCTCTAATGTTTTCAATCACCTTCTGCCTCTGCATCTTGTCTAAACGAGGTAAATTGTGCAGAAAGCCCCCCCCCCCCCATCTGTCCTCTCATCTCATCACGTCTTTGTCACTCTTGTCCATGTCCTGACACGCAATACAATGAAATACAATAGAATACAATCTAAGCTGTAAAGACTTCTAGTTAGCTGAAGGCTGAGGGGGCTGTAAGCTTCATTTAAAGTGCACGCAACCAATTTATGTATGCACACACGTTTCTCCCAAGGTTACTGCTAAATTCTGTGTCTCATATCTGAACTGCAAATGATTTCATAGCCTATATTTTATGAGAACTGCTATAACAAAGGCATGCAGTTTAAAGCAGTGATTAATGATTTTCTGGAAATAAAACACACACACTTGGGTTAATATATATTATGAATTGTACATATCAGGAGTGCCAAACAAAAGGCCCGGGTGCCTGAATTGGCCCAGCAAGGACTCCAATCCGGCCCACTGAATTGTTTCATAAAATGTGAAGGAGGGGTTGATTTGTGGACTTTTAACTGTATTTTCATAAGTTGTATAGCATTTCCTGCTGATAAAGACCTTCCCCATTCCCGTTCATAAACACAAATATTATTATGTAAAATATAAACAATTAAACGACAGAAACGTTTTTTTCACTATCTGCTATAGAAATATCAGTTTTGTACAGTGGGTGCAAAGTAAGAAAAATAGAGTATTTTATTTGTCTAAAAAGACAAAAACGAAAAACCTAAGGAGATAGTGTGGAGGCATGGTACAGACGACACAGGAGCTGTAACTTTCCATTCTGACTTTATTCATCTCCAAACTACAGGGTTGGCCATTTATATGGATACACCGTAATAAAATGGGAATGGTTGGTGATATTAAAGTCCTGTTTGTGGCACATTAGTATATATGAGGGGGCAAACTCCTCAAGATGGGTGGTCATTTAGAAGTCGGCCATCTTGGATACAACTTTTTTCAATAGGAAGAGGGCCATGTGACACATCAAACTTATTGGTAATGTCACAAGAAAACAATGGTGTGCTTGGTTTCAACGTAACTTTATTCTTTCATGAGTTATTTACAAGTTTCTGACCACTTATAAAATGTGTTCAATCTGCTGCCCATTGTGTTGGATTGTCAATGCAACCCTCTTCTCCCACTCTTCACACACTGATAGCAACACCGCAGGAGAAATGGCAGCACAGGCATCCAGTATTTGTAGTTTCAGGTGCTGCACATCTTGTATCTTCACACCATAGACAAAAAAGGTAATTTGATTACTGTTACTTTCCCGTAAGTACGCTGCGTTACTGCGTTACTAAAACCGTGATTTGTTTGCAAGAGTGTCTCATGACAATGACGTAAGCGAGTGCGACGTTCGTGGCAACAGCTGTGTGCAGATCAACAATGGATAATATATCGAGTGTGGGAGAGCATATGACAGTGCAGCGTTTAAAGAGTGGAAGTACCGACCTTACTTTGAGTTTGATTCCATAAAAAGTGACAAAAACATTACCGTCTGCTGTTCAATGAGTGGGAAGAAAACTTCTTTTACAGCAAAAAGAACCCCTAAACTTCAGAGCAAGCACCGACAGTACGCTGCCACGGGAATGTGAAATTCACAGAGAAACTCTCAGATCCTTCCACTGACCGCTACGACACACCTGCACCAGGGTAAACCTCTGCCTGCCCCACTCCTGCTATACAGGTGAAAATAGAGCAACAGGACTGCTAAGTCTTTGATTTAATTTATTTTCTGCTGTGTTTTACTTGCATCTAAACACAAAAAACTATTTTATTTTATATGCTGGAATATGCAGAAAATAGGTTTAAATGTTAAACAAATTTCTTCCAGTCAGAGAATGTTGCATATAATTTAATGTTTGCTTGATGCATAAAGTTAAAAGATTAAAACTAATAAAACAAGTTTTAAAAAGAGACTTTTTCATTTGATTACATTTTATATGATGGATTATGTAGAAAATGTAGACTTGGGCTGAAAGATCTATTGCTTTATCACCTATTCAGGTTGTAAATCATTTTTA